TCGGGTATTTCTCCTCCATGAATCCTGAGGTGTTTAATCATGTTTGTCGTTTACCCTCCTTTGCATGATTTAACTGTATTGCTAATGTAGCATTGAGATAAGAGCTCATTCTTCCTGCTAAAGTTGGCCAAACTTTTGACCAACGAAGAAGAAGCTGCCGAACACCAACGAGGACGGGGCGTATGAGACGAAGTCACACATGAGAGAGGAGAGAGACAGAGAGAGATTACATTGTAACCCACAGCGGCTGCATTGCTGTGGGTTGAAATGTACTTTCTCTCTCTGTCTCTCTTCACTTTCTGTGTCGCTTCGTCTCATACGCTCCGTCCTGGTTGGTGTTAAGCGGCTTCTTCTTCGTTGATTTTCGGCGGCTATTTCTTCCGGTCGGCGGACTCCGGCATCGAAACTTGGAATCGAAATTTTAATATTTGAACGATACCAGAAGAATCGAAGTTTTAGTCTCGATTCCCATCGATTCCCATCGATTCTCGATTCTCGATACCCAACCCTACTCAGGAGACACAGGGCCAGATTATGGGGGGTCTGGGCCCCGGGGCCAGGAATTTGCACTTTGTACAATTTGTACTGAACAAGTTCATCTGCCAAACTCATGGTCAGATCAGTGGGATATGCTGCAGCAAGAGATTCTGCCCTTAAAGTGAGCTCACTGTTGGACATATTATCAGGCATGAAAAGAACATGAAAAAGATTGGTCAAGCGTGTGTATGCAGTTAACCAATGGTTAAGACAGGACACAAGTTTGTCAATTAGAACATTGAACGTTTCAATCCGAAACTTTTCTTTTCCACTAAATTCAACACCTGGCTCTGCACTTTCATCAGCCATACATTTGCGCTTCTTTGTGCGCTGGAGGTCATGTCTGTAGTCTTGGGAGACTGAATCGGTAACAGTTAAAGCTGACCCTTCAAAAAAGGCAAAATTGTCTCTCTGTGCTGCCACAAAGTCACGAAGTGAAAGGAGAAGCTGTGTAGCCGTGTGTATGTCAATGTCATGTTTCTGCAACTGCAGGCTCATGACTCGGAACCGCAGCAGTATTGTATCCCAAAAGTGTGCCATGAAAGCTATCTCTAGGGTGTCCAGCTTGCCACAGAGTGCAGAGGCCTCACTTCTGGTTTCACGTTTCTCCTGTGAGTCTTTGGAAATATTGTTCAATGCCTCTCTCAATTGTGTAATAATATGTAATGCATAATAATGCATTCCTCAATTATTTGAACAAAGTAAAACTTATTCAAACCTTTCTGATACTTAAAAACGTTCTAATACTTGAGGACTTTTAATTATTAAAATTTTCCCTGTTTATCTGGCATTTGGCAAAATTAAAGAGACAAAGCCTTTTATTCCCACTCATTGCAGATCCCGCCTTGGCCCTGCTTTAAGTTTGTAAGAGAACATGTAAGAGTTATCCTTTTTCATATCCAGTGAATATATATCTATTAAATATCCAGTGAATCCAAAGACATTCAGACTCTAAGAGCACAAGTGTTAGGGCTATCGTTAACTGAGCTTTAAATGATATAAAGGAGACAAAAACAACAGAAGGCCCCATTCTGGGAATTGTCATTTGTTTCAATGGTGCCACTCTTGATTTTCCTATTATAAATGCAACATGCACTTCCTTGTTATTGTTTTCCAGTCTGAGATATGCGACAGTTCCGTAGCCACGCTCACTGGCATCCGAAAAGTGATGCAGCTGTGAGTGTGTGATTTGACCAAAGTTGATAGGCTTCATGCACCGCTCCACTTTAAACTCCACCATTTTGTTGAGATCTGCAAGCCATCCTGTCCACTGTTGGAAGAAAATGTGGGGTATGGTTTCATCCCATCCAAGTTTTTCCTTGCAGAGCTCCTGCATAATCAGTTCGGCTGGCAGAGTGAATGGCGCTAGAAAACCTAAAGGGTCGTACACAGAGCCGACCACAGACAAGATGCCACGTCTGGTGTGTGACCTTTCAGGTGCAGCTATTGTGAACTTGAACACATCTGTTTCAACACACCAGTGTAATCCTAGGGCTCTTTCCATTGGTAGATTGTCCTTGTCCAAGTCCAATTTCTTGATTTCTTTGGCTCTTTGCTCTTGTGGGATAGATGTTAACACGGCACGGCTGTTGCTGATCCATTTAGACAGAACAAATCCACCCCTCTGGCAGAGAGCAGTCAGGTCCTTTACCAATTGTACTGCTTCTTGTTCTGTAGGCATGGATTTTAAACAATCATCTACATAGGAGTTGTGGTGTACTGTGTCTGTCACCTCAGGTGGAAAGTGAGCGTGGTTGTCTTCAGCAGTCTTCCTCAAAGTGAAATTCGCACAGCTTGGTGACGACACCGCTCCAAATAGATGTACTTTCATCCTGTATTCGGCCAGATCTTGCTGCACATCACCTCAGGCCACCACAAGAATCGTAAGTAGTCAACATGCTTTTCAGACACCTTAACATGATGGAACACGGCTTTGATATCTGCCATCAAGGCAACCGGTTCTTGCCTGAATCTGATGAGGACTCCCAGAAGTGAGTTGATAAGGTCGGGACCCTGAAGCAGTTGACAGTTAAGTGATGTTCCTTTAAAGACTGCACCACAGTCAAAGACAACTCTTAATGTGCCTTTTTTAGAGTGATGCACACCATGATGTGGGATATACCAGAGTTTTCCATCACTTCGATTCAGCTCATCCACTGGCACCAGTTCAGCATAGCCACTGTTAATCATATCTGTGAGGAAGGATGTGTATTCATCATGGAACTTTTCATATCTGTTGAACTTGCGTTTCAGGCTCTGGATGCGTTGCTCTGCAATACAGCGGTTGTTTGGCATGATGGGATCTTCTTCTTTGAAAGGTAAGTTTAAACTGCAATGTCCATCTTTAATCTTTGCTAAGTGGTTTGCAATATCAAGGAATTTGACCTCTTGACATTTCCTCCATTTCCTTACTGGCTCTTTCACTCTCTTTCACTGAAATCCTGATTGTACTGTTTGACAAGTAACTCCTCGAGGTTCAGAATAGATATTCTATTGACAGCAGCAGCAGGGCAGCCGCTCTCGTCCCTGATGGTGCCGTCTCCTCTTAAGGGACCATAAATGACCCACCCCAATAGGGTCCTCACAGTGTATGGTCCATCCTCCTGGCTATTGACCACCTCCCAGGGTTCCAATAACTTCGAGGCGTTCATGCCAATGAGGAGGTCAATGCCAGAGTCTATTTCAGGTATTGCAATATGGTTCAAGTAAGGCCATTGTGACAAGTCTTCTTGTTTTGGAATATTGTGTTGCGAAATGGGCATGGTTTTATGAGTGAACACATCAGGCAGTGGTATGAAGTTGTTTGTGTCCATCCTGGCAATTTCCAGACCGGTGATATGGTAACTGGTTTCAAGCTTGACTTGATTCATAGTTCTGAGGAGAATGTTTGTTTTTCATCCAGGAATGTGCAGCCTTCTCCTTATACTTTCTATGCAGAATGTGGATGTGCTTCCGTGGTCCAAAAAGGCATAGGTGTGCAATACTGTGTCCCCCTTGTGGCTCTTTACTTGAACTGGCACGATGGAAAAGATGGAGGTTTCCTCACGGGCCCCAATATGACCACAGATGTGAGGTGAGATGACAGCATTGTTTCCAATTGGTTTCTGATGTGTCTGTTCTGTTTGTTCAACGTGGAGTATATCAGGATGTTTCTGTTTTCTGCTTGAGTGTCCTCTTTTCAAACAGCCAAAACAGACTCCCTTTGCCATTAAGAAGTCTCTTATCTCTGTGTTTTTCCTTTTTCATCTGTGGACACCACTCCAATGTGTGCCCACTTTTATTGCAGAACAGACATAACCTGTATGAACCTTTTTCCACTCCACTTGACACTGGTGCTGTTTCAATGGGGCTTAGTGCTGTTGCAAAACTGCTTCTTGGACTTGACCTTTCCTTTGGTTTAATGATGGTTGAGCTTTTGAAAGTTGTGGCTTGTTTAATGTCCTGGATGTTTCCAAAAAGTGGGTCAGAAAGTATTTTCACTTGCTTTTCGATAAAGTTGACCAAGTCTGAAAACATTGCTCGACGTCCGTGCTCCTGTAGATCACATGCTCTGTTTCCCCATCCTTCTCTGAGCCTGTATGGAAGCTTCATCAGGATGATTCTCATGTTGGAAATTACATTCATCTCCTCCATATAGGCTAGATTTTCCATTGCATTGCAGCAGCCTCTGTGGAATAGAGAAAATGTCTGCAATCCCTTGACATCCTCCTGTTTCATTGCTGCCCATGCAAATGCTTTTTCCATATATGCTGTAGCAATTTTGTGCTTATTTCCAAAATGCTCTTTGAGCAGATGGTGTGCCTTTTGATAGCCCTGTGATGGAGGCAGATGTTGGCAGCTGCGGACCAGGTTCTTTGGACGCCCTCGTGTATACTGTTCCAGAAAATCTAAGCAGTCACTATAATTGTCCGTCTTATTCTCCACTCCTGCTTCAAATGCCCTCATAAACATGTCATACTGTAATGGATCACCATCGTATACCGGAATGTTTCTTGGTGGTAAAGTAGAGCACAGATTTTGTTTGACCAATAAAGTTGTTATGTCATTCTGTCTTTGCAACACATTGCAAATGTCACCTGCAGGGGGTGTAGTTTGACTGACATGACCACCATGAACATTTTCAGTTAGAACAGATTGCCTGTGGAGAGAATATTGCATTGGTGGGGTCATGTAATGGGCTTGGGCAGATTTTTCATATATGGATTGTTTTGGCCTCACAACCTGTGGCTGGGAGGAAGGCCTTGTCTCCATTGACACTTTTCCTTGTTGGGTTTGATCAGGTAAGTATGTATTTGTATTGAATGAGGTTTCCCTTTGAGCAGCAGCAGCCCCCTTTTGCAACTCAGGGTTTGACCTACATGACACTCTTGAAGTGCTCCTTGATCCCATGGTTTCCAACACATGAGCTCTTGCATTGGCTGCAACCAGTTTAGACTCCATTTTAAGTTTTTCCTGTTCTCTCCTTAGCTCTTCCTGTTGAATTTGAGCCGTTCCTGTTGTTTCTCCATTTCATGTATTTTATGTAGGGCAGCAACCTGTTCCATGGGGGCTGCTTTTTCAGCCTGGGCCCTAATGCGGACAGATGAGGTTGTACATGCTCTTGATGTAGTTGATTTGCGCATGGTTTTTGTAACATTTGATGCACTGTCCTGGGGACCAATTTCATCATTATGGACAACGCTTAGTTTTTCACTCTCATCAGTGACATGCATTTGCAGTTCCATTTCTGGTTCAGTTTCAACAGTGACATGTATTTGTGGCTCATTTTCAGTGACATGTGAAGTCTGTGGTTTTAATTCAGATAACCACACCTGAACGTCCTGTATGAAACATTCCAGTTTGTCGATTTTTGGAAGAAACCATTTATTTTGCCTCTGGATCTCCTCCTCAGGCAATGGTAAAACAATCAGCGATGAGTGACATTTCCTTGATTCCCCACACAGATCAATCAATTGCTCAAAATGACATTTAACAGCATTTGCATTTTCATTGTCCTTCATGAGCTCTTTCAATGTCTCTCTTAATTTCACTGCCTTTTTAACACACGAGCCCCGTGGTTTTTGACAGTTTTCGACCAACAATTCCAAACCTTTCGCAGTATGCTTAACCACTCTTTTTTCCTTTTCCTTTCCAGAATCATGTGCAATGTCGCCATCTTGTGGCTGGCCATCGCCATTGCCCAACATAGTTCATTCAGCTTTTTTTTATGGCCATTCTGAGTCTGACTCCTCACACTCACCCAGTAGCGCTGCAGGTGTTTCCAATGTTTTTTTGTTTTTTTTTGCCTTTGAATCTAAATGGACCAAACACTTGATGTGTTTCATACTTATACAGCAGTTTTTAGTCAGCACAAACTCTGATTTGAAGTCTTGATCATGTTCATTTATCAGAGTCGGTACACTACACAAAACGCACGTGCTCACACTATAGTACGTGAGCGTGTCATGGAGCAAATTATCACTTCAACTGCGGATCTGATCGTCACTGATTTGAAATAAAAATTCCCAAAATCTTCAGAAAGATCCTCCATAAACTTTGGCCATGGAAAATGTAAGATTTGAACTTCTTAACAATATCTGATGAGTTCTGTCATGGGCTTGATAACGCCGACGATCACATTGACCGTATTTCTTCTGTGTTTTAAGACTGCAAAGAAAACGAAAACATCCTAAATGAATGAAATATGAATATTGTTCACTTTTCGCCCCATAATTTATCTATTCAACTATTTCAAACTCTGAGCTGGGGTGTTAGCCCATATTTAGGCCTACTGTAAAGCTCTAACCTGTGCTATAGTATTGAAATCAAACAATCATAGAATGTCAGAGGAATTCATCAATACAATGTACAGTATGAGTTTGCACCCTGTCATCACCAGACCAAGCAGAATTACAACATATAGTGCTACATTTATAGATAATATATTCACAAATGACATAGACAATAGAATGATGAGCCGACTACTAGTTAACGACATTACAGACCATCTGCCTATTTTTACTGTCTACGATTATAATTATAAGAGAAATTTGCCAGACTGCAAACCTAAATACAGAAGAGTAAGAACAGAGCATACTATTAATGCACTAAAGGAGGACGTACTAACACAGGACTGGGAGACTGTATATGCAGAAAATGATATTGATTGTGCATATAATGAATTCCTTTGTATTTTTAAAAGATTCTTTGACAAGAATTGTCCACTGAAAGAAATTACGAGGAAATATAAAAAAACAGAACAGCCATGGATCACTAAAGGACTTCTAAATGCATGTAAGAAGAAAAGTACTCTGTATAGAGAGTTCATCAAGCAAAGAACCAAAGAAGCAGAAAATAAATATAAAAGATATAAAAACAAGTTAACAAATACAATAAGGAGATGTAAGAAGGATTATTATAATAAATTGCTAGTATATAACAAAGACAATATTAAAGGAATTTGGAATGTACTAAACTGTATTATTAGAAATGACTCTGGACACATAAATTACCCACAATATTTTATTGATAAAGGTACAGATAATTATAATATGGATGAGGTTGTTAATAGCCTTAACAGTTTCTTTGTAAATGTGGGACCTAACCTGGCTGAAAATATTCCTGATCCTGGGACAACTGAGGAATGTAGTGATACACTCATTGAAAGGAATTCCTGTTCAATGTTTCTGACAGCAGTGGAGGAGAGTGAAGTCATTGAAATAGTTGAAAAATGTACCAATAAAATGTCCACTGACTGTGATGACATTGACATGAAATTAATCAAAGAAGTAGTTGGAGGAATTTCTAAACCATTCACTTATATCTGTAACTTATCATTCCAAACCGGTACAGTCCCAAAGAATATGAAAATAGCTAAGGCCCACTATTTAAATCGGGTGAAAAACACAATTTCACAAATTACAGACCTGTCTCTCTGTTACCTCAATTCTCAAAAATTCTAGAAAAACTATTTAATGACAGACTAGACAAATTCATTGAAAAACACATCTTATTAAGTGATAGCCAAGATGGATTTAGAAGTAACCGATCAACAGCAATGGCTCTAATGGAATCAGTAGAGGAAATCACCAACTCTATTGATGGGCGTAAGTTTGTAGCCGGAATATCTATTGACCTTAGGAAGGCATTTGATACCATCAATCACAAGATATTAATAGAAAAATTGGAACGGTATGGTATTAGAGGAATAGTCTTAAAATGGGTGAGTAGCTACTTGAGTGACAGAAAGCAATTTGTGAGGTTGGGTGAATCAATATCATCATGTTTGACAATTGCTTGTAGAGTCCCCCAGGGGTCAGTATTGGGGCCAAAATTATTTATCCTTTATATAAATGACGTGTAATATATCTAAAGTAATAAAAATGGTAGTCTTTGCTGATGATACAAATATTTTCTGTTCTGGAAGCAGTTTGCAGGAATTATTGAACATTGTTTCTTCGGAGTTGTGCAAGCTAAAGAGGTGGTTCGACAGAAATAAACTTTCATTAAACTTGTCTAAAACAAAATTTATGATATTTAGTAATAATAAAATAGATACTCAAGTAAATATATATAGAGAGGGTGTTGCTATTGAAAGAGTATTTGAGAATAAATTTCTAGGGGTGATAATTGATGATAAAATTAATTGGAAACCTCATATAAAATATATACGAACAAAACTATCGAGAAGCATTTCAATTCTGAGCAAAGCAAAGCACATTCTGGATTCCAACTCACTCTGCATGCTGTACTGTTCCCTTGTTTTACCTTATTTAAATTACTGTTGTGAGGTTTGGGGCAATACCTATAAATCTTCACTCCATGGATTAACTATACTTCAAAAAAGAGCTATACAAATTATACATAAGGCTGCATATCAAGACCACACCAACACACTATTCATTAAGTCAAACCTGTTAAAATTTATGGATATCATCGAATACAAAACCGCCCTGATAATGTACAAAGCTAGGTACAATCATCTCCCTGGGAATATCCAGAAACTGTTCTTTGACAGAGAGGGTGGGTACAACATTAGGGGGAAGTTAAATTTGAAAACTCTGTGTGCCCGAACAACATTGAAATCATTCTGTATCTCGATATGTGGAGTTAAACTTTAGAACAGTATAGATGTAGAGACAAAGCAATGTTCAAACGTACACAAGTTCAAAAAAAGGTATAAAAAATGTATTATAATGAGGTATAAGGAGAAAGAGTTACATGAACAATGATGTGTTCAATGACTGTACTGTATATACATCTATGCATGTATGTATGTATGTATGTATGTACGTATATGTAACTTATTATTGAGATCACCAATTTAGTGTACAACCAAGTAATCCTTGATACGTAAGTGGTAAATCAATTTGTTAAAGTATACTTTATAGGTATACAGTAAGACAGTTTGTAAAACATTGATGCTGTGTAGTTGACAAAGGGGTAGGATCACATAAGTCTTGACTTCACCCTACTCCTTTTTGAACATGATCATGATATTGGCCGATTATTGCCTATTAGGCTTGTCTTTGATTTTATAATTTTTTTTATTTATTTATTATTACTACTTTTATTTTATTTTCATAAAGCCTTTTTTTTTGTTTTGTTTTGTCATTATTTTTATCATGTTCAAAGAAAGAAAGAAAGAAAGTAGCTAACCTGCTGAACAATCTGACCTGGATGGTCTGACTTGCAGAGGACCTCAACTGAAAAAAAAATAGAGTTGAACTTTTACGCACAGCTGCGTAACTTTTATTATTTCCCCAAATCTCACCACACACAGACATTATCAGACAGGATCTAATGATAACTGATCTCTCATGTGTTTTACTTCAAAAAAGGAGGCCACTGATCTGAATTGACTTCTTTTTGCTGCATCACGTGGTTCTATTTGGTGGACTATTGCGTGCGTAATGCAAGTATCCATTAATATTCAGCATGGCTAAATCCTCCTACAATTATATATCAGGACTGTAAAAAATACACCTTCGATGCATGTGAGCATGTGTTGATGAGTGTGTCACTGCTTCTGCAGAGATGGAGAGTGAGCACATCATGAAGCTTGGTGACGAGACATGCTGCAACTTTGGGGCTGAGCAGGTCTGAAGTTATGAGGAGAAAGCGGTAAGTAATGTCGTAAAGGATGCAAAATAAAGGAAATCTCGCTTCTCGAAGCCTTCTGACTGAATGAAGGACTCAGTTTCAATGTATTAGAAAAGAAAAGAAAAAGTCATTTTATCTGATGGCTCAATTTGTCACCCTATAAGTGAGAGCTCAGCTGTGCGTAAAAAGACCCTCTAACTAATAGGAATAGCCGACTTTCACTGGGCTATGTTCATAATTTGTGCACAGAACCTCTCCTGTTTGACTTTATAATTTTGAAAAAAATATATTAAAATAAAAAAAGGTAATGCTGCATATTAGACCAAAGGACCGACATTTGGCAAAATTAAAGAGACAAAGCCTTTTATTCCCACTCATTGCAGATCCCGCCTTGGCCCTGCTTTAAGTTTGTAAGAGAGCATGTAAGAGTTCTCTTTTTTCATATCCAATGAATATATATTTATTAAATATCCAGTGAATCCAAAGAAATTCGGACTCTAAGAGCACAAGTGTTAACTGAGCTTTGATTGATATAAAGGAGACAGAAACAACAGTAGGCTGCTGTTTGAAATGTTCATATTTCATATACATAATTTTCACATAAATTTAAGCAGATTGGGGGGGTGACCTCAAGATATACTTTTTTGATGAATAGCTAATTGACCACGCCTGCCATAATAACCAACAGCAGACTCAGTTTTTTTTTTTTTTTTTTTTTTTTTGCCTTTGAATCTAATTGGACCAAACACTTGATGTGTTTCATACTTAACACACGAGCCACGTGGTTTTTGACAGTTTTCGACCAGCAATTCCAAACCTTTTGCAGTATGCTTAACCACTCTTTTTTCCTTTTCCTTTCCAGAATCATGTGCAATGTCGCCATCTTGTGGCTGGCCATCGCCATCGCCCAACATAGTTCATTCAGCTTTTTTTTGATGGCCATTCTGAGTCTGCCTCCTCACACTCACCCAGTAGAGCTGCAGGTGTTTCCAATGTTTGTTTGTTTTTTTGCCTTTGAATCTAATTGAACCAAACACTTGATGTGTTTCATACTTATACAGCAGTTTTTAGTCAGAACAAACTCTGATTTGAAGTCTTGATCATGTTCATTTATCAGAGTCGGTACACTACACAAAACGCACGTGCTCACAATATAGTACGTGAGCGTGTCATGGTTGCCATGGTTCCGCTCACGTACATCATTTAGATACAGAATTCAAACATAAACAAAACCCAGAACGAGCAAGATCAATTTTCAACAAGTCTTTACACCGAGCAAATTATCACTTCAGCTGCGGATCTGATCGTCACTGATTTAAAATAAAGACTCCCAAAATCTTCAGAAAGATCCTCCATAAACTTTGGCCATGGAAAATGTAAGATTTGAACTTCTTAACAATATCTGATGAGTTCTGTCATGGGCTTGATCACGTCGAGGATCACATTGGCCGTATTTCTTCTGTGTTTTAAGACTGCAAAGAGAAAGGAAACATCCTAAATGAATGAAATATGAATATTGTTCACTTTTCGCCCCATAATTTATCTATTCAAACTCTGAGCTGAAGATTCGGAGGATGAGGAGATGATGAGATGAGAAAGGAGAAGCAGAAGAAAAAAGAAAAAGAAAAAGAAAATAAATTTTATCCTCCCCAGAGCCAAAGTCCCTTCACCCTACCAGGGGCTCCCAGCCGCGAACCCGAAAACGGCAATCATAGGCTCTAATCGCCGGATTACTATGGGCTTGCTGCCACTAGCCTTGAGCTACAGTTGAAGGGACAGTGGGTCGCTGCGCCGCTCAAGGCCGAGCTAAAGTGGCCCTTTCCCGGACACATTTTGCTCAACACCCGGTCCCCCACCTGGAGGTCCAACACTTTGTCATATTCACGGGGGGAGCCTCCGGCGGCTGCGGCACGGCCGGGAGGGTCCGTCCCAGATGTGAATTCGTATATTCGAATTCGGGTTGGAGCGCCTGGAGCCCGGGGAAGAGAGGTGGAGGCCGGGCATGGAGCTCCGGACGGCCGGGGATGGAGAGCCTGGAGCCCGGGGAAGAGAGTCCGGTGGCCGGGCATGGAGAGCCTGGAGCCCGGCCTGGAGAGCTTGGAGCCCGGGGAAGAGGTGTGGAGGCCGTGCCTGGAGAGCATGGAGCCCGGGTTGGAGATCAGGAGGCCCGGTCATGGAGAGCCTGGAGCACGGGGCAGAGAGGTGGAGAGCGGGCATGGAGCTCCGGAGGGCCGGGTATGGAGAGCCAGGAGCGCGGGGAAGAGAGGTGGAGGGCGGGCGTGGAGAGCCTGGAGGCCGGGGTGGAGCTCCGGAGGGCCGGGGATGGAGAGCCCGGAGCCCGGGGAAGAGAGGTGGAGGGCGGGCGTGGAGAGCCCGGAGCCCCGGCATGGAGCTCCGGAGGGCCGGGGATGGAGAGCCCGGAGCCCGGGGAAGAGATGTGGAGGCCCGGGGCGGAGAGCCCGGAGGCCGGGCATGGAGCTCCGGAGGCCCGGGGATGGAGAGCCTGGAGCCCGGTGAAGAGAGCCCGGAGCCCGGGGAAGTGATGTGGAGGGCGGGCATGGAGAGCCTGGAGCCCCGGGAAGAGAGCGCGGAGGCCGGGCATGGAGAGCCTGGAGGCCGGGGATGGAGCTCCGGAGGGCCCGGGATGGACAGCCCGGAGCCCGGGGAAGAGAGGTGGAGGGCGGGCGTGGAGAGCCCGGAGCCCGGGGAGGAGCTCCGGAGGGCCGGGCATGGAGAGCCCGGAGCCCGGGGAAGAGAGCCCGGAGGCCGGGCATGGAGCTCCGGAGGGCCGGGGATGGAGAGCCCGGAGCCCGGGTAAGTGATGTGGAGGGCGGGCATGGAGAGCCTGGATCCCCGGGAAGAGAGCGCGGAGGCCGGGCGTG